CCTTTCAAGTTATACCCAGTGTAAATTAATTTGCTATCATGCTATACTTTAGGCATTGTTTAAAAGACATCCTGAGTCTCCATGGATCAATTCAAAAGGATGGTAGCATTTTTTCTTCTTGCAGAAAAGAAGGACCAATGTTGTAGATACTTGTTTACTTCCAGAAAAACTCTGGGAATCAGCTTCTACAGACATCATGCAATGTTTATTTTAACATTTCTACCTACCTTTTGTATTATACTTGTGGGTGTGGGCCAGTGCTTTGCATGGCATGTATGAGTCCTTTCTGTGGACTCTAAATTTAATATTAGGAAATTGGTCATGTAATCACTTTATGATTTTCTGAGTTTTGTTCTATATTTGCAAATAGACCCTGAGCTCTGAGCCTAGCCATCAATATCATAGCAACAATGTGTGCTATTCTTTTTTTTTTTCATTTTATAGCAAATTTTCCCAATTTTATAACTATTTTTCTGTTTATGGTAAAATATTCCCAGTCCTGTTTGCATATATCTCAGGAAAGAGGATGGTTAGTTATATTTTGTGACCTATAATAGCATGCTCTATATATTTGTGATGAATTTCCTTTTTTGGGTTAAAATTCCCACGGTATCAGAAGCACTGCCTCTCACTGAGCTCCATAAACAACAATTGTAGCCCCTTTCCTTACCTTTATAGATATATATAAATAATGTCATGCAGACCATTCCTCATTGAGAAAAACACAAAATACTGAAAAAATTGGACACTTTTTGGAAATTGTCATGCATTTTTGACCAATATCTCAAAGAGCAAGAAAGCTGGTCTCAAGATATAGTCACATTGCATAATATGACAATATTTTTACATAGTTGTCTTGATTTTCCATATTTGGATATGGACCCTGAATACTGGACACAGCCCCTTCAACACCATGGCAACAGAGAAGATCACTCTTAATTTTGGGGTATTTTTTTCTGATTTTCTGGCAACTTTTAGGTGGTTTCTATATTTAGATATTGACCCTGAACCCTGAACACAGCCTCCCCACCTTACTAAACAATATTCCGATTTTTTACATATTTTTTGCTGATTTCTTTTACCATTTTTCCTGATTTTATGGCTGCTCTTCTGTTTAAGGGAAAAGGTTCCTGCGGTGATGAAAGGTAAATGAATCAATGAATGAAAAATTTGCCTAAGTCCTCAGTTGATAAAGAATGAGTCTTACTCGTAAACTTGTAAGGACTCATAATAATACAGAATAATGATGCAACAGAATTATGTATAACAAAAGGTCAAAAAGGTCATGTTGTTGGATGGGATGCAAAGTTGGGCCCAAGTGGACAACAAATCCTTGAAACTTTGTTTGTAAAGCTTGATCGTCCTGCCAAGACAATCAAGATTGAGGGATTGCCTGAAAATGAG